CACACAAACACATATATTCACACACACATGTGCACACACATAAACACATATATTCATACACATACACTCACACACAAACACATATATTCACACACCCACATGTGCACACACACATAAACACACATATTCACATGCATACACTCTCTCTCTTTCTCACACACACACAAACATACATGCATACACACATGGCATTAAAGCAATAGGGAACTATTTGCAGGAAGGAAGAAGAGAGACGGGTGTAAGCAAGGGACCATGACATACACGAGTAAAAATGTCATAATGAACCCGCCATTTTGTATGTCAACTAAAAACTTAAAAAAGAGAAAAGAGAAAGAGCTGACTCTGACATGTGCTTACCAAACACCAGGCTTTGTTCTAAGCACTAAATAGATACTTAGCTCATTTATTTATGTATTTTATGTATACGGATGTTTTGTCGGCACGTACATCTGCACATCAGAAGAGGGCACTGGATCCCACGGGACTACAGTTATTAGATGGTTGTGAGCCACCATATGGGTACTGGGAATTGAACTCAGGACCTCTGGAAGAATAGCCAGTGCTCTTAACCACCGAGCCAGCTCTCCAGAGGATATTTAGCTCATTTAATTATAAAGATAAGCAATGCAGGGTTAGCACTGTACCTGGTAACATTTCTTCAGTAGAAAATCTTGAAGGAAAAACCAGCCTCAATCAGAAAGCAAATAAGAGACTCCTCCTTTCTTCTCTTCTTTTTCTACTCGGCCCCAGTCTCAGAGCTCTCCCAGAATCTCCACGTCTCAGACTGGGGAATTGTTTGGCTGGTAAGGTACTTGCCACACAATCATGAAGACCAGAGTTTCATCCCCAGGACCAACATGAAAAGCTGGGCGTGGTAGCACATGTTTGTAATCTTCATTCTGGGAAGGCAGAGACAAGAAGATCTCTAGGCTCACTGGCCAGCCTCAGTTCCAAGGAGAGTCCTCTCAAAATACAAGGTGGATAACTCCTGAGAAAAGAACACCTGAAGTTGTCTTCTGGACTCACAGGTAACTGCACACACACGCATGAACGCACGCACGCACGCCTACTATCCACATATGAGAACACCTCTCTGCTATCTCCAGAGCTGCCCCTTCCCTGAGACCCCCCTTTTTGCTGCCCGGGCCTCACTGGAGGCTGCTCACGATTCATTTCTCCCTGCTTGGTGCACCCTGGACACTGGTTACCAATGAAAGCTTTCCCCAGTCCCAGGTACACAGAGGTCCTTCCCCCCACCCCCCACCCCCACCCCCCACCCCCGGCCCCCAACTACAGCTCTTTGCACCTGATTTTACTGCTCATGGGATGGCCAGGCCTCATGGGGGTGTGCTCTCCTCTCAAAGCTTGGCCCCCTGCTGATCTCTGTGGGAATAAAAGAAGGGAGAAAAGGAGGTGATGATGGCTTATATTTAAGCCACAAACTATATTGGGAAATGCACTTGAGTGTGCACAGAATTCTTTTGAGGTAGCTAGGTGTGGGTATCTGGGAGTGAGAGAGAGAGTGTTTTATGTCACTAAGTCAGGCACTAGGGACATATCAATGGGCAAGATGGGCGCAGTCTATTCTCCTTTGTACCGTCTGGGGTTTTCCATATGCTCATTCCTGTTTCAAAATCAAAATAACCATCTTAAAAAATAAAACAGAACAGAAGAAAGATGCACCCACACTATTGAACACCATGCACTTGTTCAAAAGAAGGGAACAGGAGCAAAGTTAAAGTTTCACAGAAGAGAACATTCAAATCACAATAGTATATGCTACGCTATTTTCTCTGCGGATAAAGTGTACATCTTCAAAAATCCGTATGTCTGTGTTTGCATAAATGAATGCAGACATATGAAGAAAAATCTGGAAAGGTGTGCGTGGTTGAGAGTGTGATAGGACACATGAGAATTGCACTTTTAACACCATTTTATTATGTTTATATCATTTCAAGCGATTATGTACAAAAAGAGATAACTTACTAGATTTGAAAAGAGCCTGAGACCAAAGCTGGTCTCAGAGAGATAGGATTCCTTGGGTCTTTGATGGCCACCTCAGCCTCAGGTTTAGATGGGCACCCCAAATCTAGTCAAAGCCTAAAAGCTTCTCCTCTTGGGAAAAGCAAGTCTGCTGGCTGTGAACCCCCAAAACTCGGTACCTGAAGATAAGGCAGAGGCTTCAGCGGTGCTGGTGTCAGCAAGGCTGCCGTGCGTGGGAGGGGCCACGGAGGCTGGGACAAACCTCACTGTTGCTGCTGTCGCCAGGGCCCTAGCTCCAGGAAGCAACAATGAAAAGATATTGGCAACTTTGACAGGGAGGAAATTGCTTTCTTCTGTAGGAAGGAGGAGTTCTGTGAGGGGACAAAAAGCCACTTGCCCTGACAAAATGTTTAATTAGAAGATAGGCCGGGGGGGGGGGGGGGGGGGGGATCGGGGAGGGGGCGGCGTCACTTGCCGGGATCCTGGGGACTGTGTGCACACACATTCCGTCTTCTGAGTCCTGCGGTCAGGGCTGACCAGGGCTGTGTGGCCACTGGAGAAAAGTGCGGGAACAGTTACAATCAGGGCTGTCTTGGCTGGGCCTTAGTTTACTCCTGTCTACCCTAGGACCGTAATTGCCCCCTCACTAGGGGTAGAGAGGATTAGCTGAGTTCCCAGCGTGGCGCCAAATAGCTGCTACAGCTTAGCAACCTGAGGATGAAGTCTCTGTGGTTATCGCACAGGCAGTCTGCGCAATGCTGAGGACATGGGTTCTAGGGCCAGAGCCCGGGGGTGAGATTCCCGGGTCCTCTACTTATTAGCTGTGGACTTGGTTATCTCTTGAACTCTGTGCCTTGGTTTACCAGTCAGCAAAATGAAGATGCTATTATTTTCATTCACCTTATAGACCCGATTGCTAAGATTAATTGAAGTAATACCCATTCACATGCGCCTGGACCACAGTGGTCCAGATTTGGTACACAGCAGGACTATGACATGTTTAGTGATGATAAACATAAGAAAGCATGCCCAGGGAACTTGGAGTTTTTATTCTCATTGGATATTCTCTAGCTGTCCACCCGTCACGTTGCAAGTGAGACAGAGCGGAGCATCCCTCCCTTCTGTAGGCAGACAAGAGAAGGCAGGGAGGGAAGAGGTTACCCTTCACAGCCTTGGCTATCCCCACTGCACATTGAGACTCATCTCCCAGTTTCAGGACAAACACTTCTATCTCTAGATGTGGTTCTTAGACACACTGGCCAGCTAGAAATGTGGGCCAAGTGCCCACCTGCTGTGCGACCTTGGGTAGCCCCGACCAGATGTGGCCTCTTGAGGAGAATTGTTAAACAGTGATGGTCTCCAGGCATTGCTGACCACACCCTCGAAGTCCAAAATCTGTGTTTGTCCCCACGGGTGGGCACCACTCACACTTGGACTCAGCCATACGTAGGAATCACTCCGTCTCCACCAACTCAATGCTCCTAAAAAACAATCTGCCATGGTAGTGGTAATTAGGGGGTACCCAGTCACTAAGAGCCAGCAGCAGATGTTACAGGAGTGGCCCATCAAAAGGACCACATTGGGACTAGGGATGTAGCTCAGTTGGTAGGGTCCTTGCCTAGTCTGCATCAGGTCCTGGGTTTTACCCTCAGCACCGAAAAAAAAACCAGGCACTGTGGCGCTTCCCTGTAATCCCAACACCATCAAGGTGGCAGCAAGACTATCAAAAGTTCAAAGTCGCCCTCAGCTACACTGTGAGTTCGAGGCCAACCTGGGCTATGTGAGACCATGTCTCAAAGCAGGGGAAGGGGCACACCATTTATCACCCTCCTCAGATATCACATCTAAAGTGCCAGTTTCCAAGGCAAAGGCCGTCTGCCTCAACTATCTCCTCGGTCATAAGAAACTGGCTGTCAGCACCTTGAAGGTTAGAACAATACCAGCATGATGAAAACAGTGTGTGTACTGGGGTGCGTGAATAGGGCGGGAAATGGACATGTTCCTATACAGCTGGTGGGAACAAAAAAAAAAAA